TAAGATTCTCTTTCTAGTCTAGATTAGTATATTAGTGATCAGATTCTGCTCTAATATATAATTGGACTGGACAACTTTTTTTTTTTTTTTTTTTTTTTTTTTTTTTTTTGCAGCTTCGAGGTGCAAAAGTACTTGAGAGAGATGACACAAGTGTCAAATAGACTCATTTACTATTGTGAAGTGCTCAATTTCTACTACGAACTAAATTAAGTGTCAAATCGACCCATCTACTAGCTAAATTTGCTCGATTGGTATTTTTTACAGGTTGCCTATTTAATTATTAAAAATAAATAAATAAATAAAATAATTTTAAAAAAAAAAGAATATCAGCCACCGAACAAATTTAACTGGAAGATGGGTCTATTTGACACTTAATTTAGTTCGTGGTGGAAATTGAACACTTCACATTAGTAAATGGGTCTATTTGACACTTGTGCCGAGAGAGATTGTACAAATCGTTCGCAAGATGCGGAATCCATTTGCATAAGCCAATTAATGAACCGAAGAGTGAAATAACTCTTCTAACTTTTCGATCACAATTTTTTAGTTCCAAACTTTTTGGATCTTACTTTGCAGAAATAACTTTTTGATTTTTCTTTCTTCTCATTTCCCAAATATTAAATAACATTTAATAAAAATTTCCTCTAAAACTTAAAATAATATTCATGAATAAAATTGAAATTTATTTTCAATGGCCAATTTCCATACTATAAAAATCAAAAAACTTTTGGTTTGTCTGTATTTTAACACATTCTCAATATGAGAATTTGTGTTAAAGACATTCATAAGTTTTAATTTATAAATTTCATTATGCATATCTCATGCATAAAAGTTATTGCATGCCTTCATAAAAAATATCACAAAATATTTTCAAAGCTTTTTACCTTTATCATAAATATAACATAATATTCCATGACTTTCACAAAGATAAAAATATATGTGTGCTAAAATATGATAAATAATAATTCATGCATGACATCAAATTAATTTCATCTTACAATCGTACGTGCAACTCTGTAACTATTTAAAGGTATAAGAAAAATTGATAACACCAAATTACATTAAATTTGACAATTTACAGCATAAACAAGATCCAACATATTATTTATGTAACTTATAATAATCCATAGAATGACATATTGCACGTGGTCATTGTTATTCATAAATCCTCTTACTATGCATGTAACCAAGACAAAGTATCAATAAAAAAATATATTTACATACATATATATATATCACACTATGCAAAAACTCTATATATATCACACTATGCAAAAACTCAATAGTCTCATGCATAATTTTCAATAAACTTAGACCGTAACTAAAAATAAAACTTACACTAATGCCACTTTCGAAACAAAGATTGAAGTACTATACCCATCACACTCATTAATCCTTGTATATGCACTTATTAATCCATCTTGTCCGTCTTTTGATATGCTAAAATCACACACCGCCGTAGAGAGATACATATCTTCTTGTGCCAAATAAATCATGACTAATGAAATGACTTAATTATTTCAATAAAATCATGTTTACACATCTCACCATCAACTTGAATTGGCATCACTTGATACCCCATGATTTTGAGTGAAGATGAAAACAAACTGCATAACATGCATTTAAACCCACATGTACACAACATGCCACGAACACCACTCATACTGAATCATACATCCGCATGGAAAACTTATTGTATACTTCAAATAACATACCCAAAATATTTTGTCATTCTCCCATCAGCAAATTCGTAATCTCATTTCAAAAATATTACGGTGATGGGAAACTGTTCGTCATGTCTGACATAGTGACATCTTATCTTCAAAATTAAACTTTCAAAGCAAGATCAAGGATCACAGGTTTGATTCATTAAAGACTTATAGATTGTTTGAAAAAATGCTTGTTTTCTGTAATATTTTTGAGATATAACTAATAATACATAACAAAATAAGGAAACAAAAACTAAATCATTTGAAATCTTCAGGCATGTACTCACTCTCCGTCCGCATATGGGAAAAAGTGAAGTTATATGGGAAATGTTTTATACTCTCCGTCCATTTTTCGCCAGAATAAATATTTCACTCTTTATAGCAGGGGTAAGATTGTCTTTTCCTTTACAACCAGCATTTCTCCTCTCTTTATTTCGACCCTGTTTGGTAACATAGTTAACTTATCAGCTAATTTTGACTTGTTTAACCACTATTAGCTGTTTGATTTGATTAAACAGTCAATATGAGTGTTTGATTAATTAGCTTTGAAATAGCTTTTTTTTTTTTTTTTTTTTGAGAATAAAAGCTTAATGCATTAAATCAGAACTGAGAATGTCCACAAGAAACTGGGGTGGTTCATGATACCACTCCCCGCAACCTGACAAAGAAACGGCTTCCCTAGCAAGAGCATGGGCAGCACGGTTCGCAGACCGCCTAGCAAAGTAGAAGATCACATCCGGAATCTGAGATGCAACCTCCTTTACATCATCTACTACTAAACCAAAGGACGAACAATAAGTATTTAAAGTTAAAGCATGAAAAACAAGCTGTGAATCAGTTTCCACATCTATAACACCAAAACCCAAACCTTTCACCCAGCTGAGTGCTTCACGTACTCCTACAGCTTCCGCCTCCTTCACTCCATATAAACCCGGGTAAGTAACACATTTTGCCGCTACAAACTCCCCATGCTCATCACGCACAATCCACCCCATTCCCATCACCCCATTGCCACATCTGTATTCAGTTTCAGTCTCCCATGCCCCGGGGGTGTCCAACGCTCCTCGGCAATAGGCGCAGCAACATCCATGCCCCCCTGAGTAATACTCCTCCAGTTATTCCAATAGCACAGGGCAGAACGTAACACTCCATCCATTGAATAAGGCACATTATTCCACACAGCATCATTACGACTGCACCACACACCCCAACAAACCATGACACATTATTGCTCCAAAACGCTAAAATTAAAAAAGTTGCTCAAAGCAGCTTAACTTTTTCGATTAATTTTTTGAAAAAGTCATTTTGCATGTAATCAGCTATCAACTAACAACTAATTTATCAAATATCTTTGTACAATCAGTTATGCTATCAACTAGTCAAACGTAACTCACTAACTCAATCAGCTAATAGTTATTTACCAAAGATGGTCATAATAAAAGTAAAACCTCAACTTTAACAACGAGTAATAGTAAAAGAAAAGAAAAGAAAAAAAATCAATAATGAAATGAAGACAATCTCAATTGAAATCTATTAATCATAAGTATTAGGAATACTATTTGTATTAGGAATATATTAGGAATATATATATATATATATATATATATATATATATATATATATATATATATATATATATATATATATATATATATTTTACACATTAAATATTAACCCTGAGACCATCCAAAATGGGCCAACAAAAGATTGTTCACACCTACGTATTCTCACAATGAGGAACTCCATCATTGCAGGCAAATCAGCCAAAATCTCTAAATCCATAAAATCTGCATCTACTTCAATTCAAACAAAACTCATGTGTCTCTATTATTTTATTATTTTTTTAAAAAAATATGATTAACGAAAGTGGAGACGACTGGAAAGAGATTCTGTTCTTATCTTTTCGGATTGCTATCCTTTCTATCTTGAGTAATTTTAAATTGGCCTAAAAGATGTTATGAAATTTCTAATGGCAATGACAATATGACATTATGTTTATTTTATTTTAATCATTATTATAACTATAATGAAAAGACTGACAATTACGTTTAATTAAGCCTAGCAACAAAAATGCTATGCTACGTAACTATCTTTAAAAAAAAAAAAAAAGAAAAAAAAAGAAAAAAAACAAACAAACAAAAATGCTACGTAACTTATCAACTTGCCAATAGTTGCCATTAATTAGCGATTACCAAAAGTCGTTGATATTGTCATAAAAAAAAAACAAATTAGAAAATAAAATTCTTTCTTTTCCAATAGCTTTCAATTTTTCTAAAGCGTTAGAGGCGATCACCATGATTGTCTCTTGACACGAGCTCTGACTTTGGTGTAGACGTGATCATATCCTAGAGAAGATGGGGATGCGGTGTGTGATGGTGTAATCAAAGCTGACAAGGCATGTAATTACCTCAGTTGGTTTTGAATAATACTACATGTATTCCCAATTTATACTCTATTTTTTACTCCCTGCTAATGTGTAGTCATCCTGTGATTGATTTAAATAACAAAGTGAGCCACTGTACTATTATTATTCATTCACTTCTACTTACCCAATAAAACTTGTACACGTGGCGGGAGTTATACTTCATGAGAGTACATATATCATTTTCCGTTGGTTTTAAAATTTTTGGGCACAAAGAGGTCCAACACAACCGTAATTGGTGGATTAACCGGTAAAATAAAGACTATCGAGAGAGAGCTAACTTATGAATCTTGCTTATGCCGTTTTATACTTTTCGGCTCAAAATGACTTGTCTTTACACTTTCTAAGGAGGCCTATTTATAGGTGACCACCCATTCGTAAATTTAAATCCAAACATAAATGTGGAATAATGAGGCAATTAAGGCTAAGGGCCGTTGTGTCGCCGTTACTAGGCTTCCTAACGATCGGGTTGACTCCGCATTAAATTAAAGGCGGTCTGTAAGTGGCAACGGTCATCTGCTGGGCCGACTCCCGTTCATGCCGATCGTTTGTTTGTGCCGACTCCAAGAACTCAGCTCCTCACTCGGCTGCATCCTCCTCCGGATCTGCCCATGGCCCACAATGTAGCTTCCCTTTTATTCAATTCCCCTTTGGGGCCTATTACCGCAAGCCCAATCTCTGGCCCATCTCTTCCTCTTCTCTTGGGCCCTGAGCCCATTAGGCGTATACCCCATAAGCTTAAATCATAATAATTTTTTAGAGTCACTTCATGCCATTAAATCACAAGTAGTTATTGACACAAAAACCCATTTAATTCAGTGACATTCCTCATTCCTAAACTCTATAAATATGCATGTCCTAACGAAACCCCCCAAACCACTTGTTTATTATATCCTAATATATGCAGATCATGGGCAGCTCTCATCTTCATGTTGCTCTTCTCTCGAGTCCTGGCATGGGCCACCTTATTCCCGTGCTAGTTCTTGCCGACCACCTCGCCACCCACCACCACCTTAAAGTCACCGTTCTCGCCATCACCACCGCCGCGGAAACTCAATTTCTTAAGTCCCATGTGAAAAGTAGTAACCCCACGGTGGACATAGTCCCCGTCCCGGCGGCCGACGTCTCCGGTCTAATCGACGAGAAAACCCAAGTCTTCACTCAGCTACGGATAACGGTTCGCGAGGCACTTCCCCACGTCCGGTCCACCATTGCCGGCTTGGCCCACCGGCCCGACGCCCTCATCGTCGACATATTTTGTACTCAAGCTTTGGGCATAGCCAAGGAGTTGGGGATTCCGAGGTACGCTTATCATCCAACCACCGCATGGACCGCCACTCTGGCCATGTATTTTCAAGTGTTTGATGAAACTATAACCGGGCAGTTCGTGGACCGCCTTGAACCGTTGAGAATTCCCGGGTGCATGCCGGTTCAACCGGAGGATATGGTTGACCCGTTGATGGACCGGAATGACCAGCAGTACCGGGAATATGTTAATCTCGGGATAGAGTACACCCAGTTTGACGGGCTATTGATTAACACCTGGGAGGAACTGGAGCCTAACACCGTTAAAGCTCTAAGAGAAAACGAGGAATTACGGGCTATTGTGAAAGTACCAGTATACCCTATAGGTCCGTTGAAGAGAAGCGTTGAGAGCAAGGAGGGGGAGGGCAGAGATGAGATTTTGAAGTGGTTGGATAGGCAACCGGTGGAGTCGGTTTTGTACGTGTCGTTTGGGAGCGGGGGATTGTTAACGGCGGAGCAAACGGCGGAGTTGGCTTGGGGGTTAGAGAATAGCCGACAGAGATTCGTTTGGGTGGTCCGGCCGCCGTGTGACGGCGGTCCCGACGGCTCCATCAACCCCAAATTAGAAGGCGGCGGTGACGCCGCCGCGGATTACTTGCCGGAAGGGTTTCTCGCTAGGACTAAAGATGTGGGGTTTGTGGTCCAGATGTGGGCTAACCAGATCGAAATATTGACCCACCCATCAGTGGGCGGGTTTATGTCTCACTGCGGATGGAACTCGACTCTGGAAAGCCTGACGAATAACGTGCCAATCATTGCATGGCCGCTTTACGCGGAGCAGAAGATGAACGCCGCCATGCTGGCGGAAGAAGTTGGGGTGGCGGTGAGGCCGGCGGTGACGCCGACGGAGAAGGTGGTGAGGAGACAGGAGATAGAGGGAATGGTGAGAACGTTGTTGCAGTACAAAGAAGGGGAAGCCATTAGAGAGAGAGTGAAGAAACTAAAAGTGAGTGGCGAAATTGCTCTAAGCAAGGCTGGATCTTCCTACAACTCCATGTGTGAGCTTGTGAAAGACATGGAAGCAAGAATGCTCACAAAGTCCCGCGAAATTTAACTCAATGATTCTAGAGTTATTCTCGAGTCTTGTTGCAACTGTAGAATTAGACAGTATATGAATTATGTTTAAATTGGGTCAATACCTTGTACTTAACATTTAACACTGTTTAGTGAATAATCAATGAGTTATGGTGATTTTCATAGTACCACTTATATTGTCATTTCGTTATTTCTATATGATTAATCTTGATTCAGTTCCAGTCTCACTAACAGAGATCAACTCTTAGTTAAAAACCGCATAATTAGATTAGCAAAATGCATTTACCAACTATTCTAATCTGTTGAGTTGATTTTTTTCTTTTTCCTGTTATGACTAATACTAAGAAATTACAGTAGCATTTTCCTTTTTTTTTTTTAAAAAAAACTTCTATTATTTAATATAACTTTAAAAATAGTATCAATTTGATATCCAATAATCACAATATGGTAAAACAAATAAATGAACATTGAAAAGGAATTGAAAATAGTAGTCTGTAATATTATTTAATTAACCATTTGATCGAAAGGCATTAACTTTAATAATTTAATTCATGCACTGTAATGACTGTTATTAATCAGCATCAAAGATGATTTGGAGTTTTTCGAACCACATTAACATTGAATTAGACTCTGTGCTACTGGGTGACAACTCAGGCAAATTCATCAAGCAGTTGATTTGTTAACTACAAGATTTCAAGTCTAACTTCTTGTAAGAAATATTTATTATTGATCTTTTAATTTATGACAAAGTCAGCTGATTTATCTCCTCAGTGGAGTTCACCCACCCGGCCACATAAACTATATATCATTTAATTATTTATTTATTATCATTTCTAGTTTTCAATTGTAACTATAATTATTAAAATTTATAATTAATTAAAACCATCAAATGTAATATATATATATATATATATATATATATATATATATATATATATATTATAAATTTAATTATAATGTACACATTAAATTTTGTTGGCATGTGTAAATTAAATAATTATGATATTAAAAACAAAATAAAATAAAACAAAAATAAAGGAAACTGGCAGACAAATTAATTATATATTGAATGTAGATGGTATAGGGATGTTCGGAAAAAACAAAAAGAAAGATTGTTTTATATAAATTGAAGAAAAATGCTTGAAAACAAGGAGAACAGCTAGCAGCCATGCACTGAAATGTGGTCAAGTTTCATTGTCATTTTGTCACCACTCACCACCACGATCGACCACCTCTGCATTAGGCCAGAGGTGCAGACGTGTACGTACAGCCACTGTAGTATATTTATTGTAATTATCAATCCAAATCCCTACCATATATAATAGAAAGGTAGGATAGATATACGTTACGTGGTAAAAAAATCCTTAGGCGTATTTCGCACCTAGCTATTAGGCGGTGATTAATGGACGCTTAAGTACTTGTGTATTTTTTATTTTATTTTTTATTTTTAAAAATTTGTTTAATTTTTTTAAGTTTTTAAAACTTGATAATAAATTATTTAATACCTTAATAGTTAATACTAAAATATTAAATATTAACCTAAAAAACGATGTAATAACAAAATAACCCATTTAAAAAAGAAGGGAATAATAGCTAAGTGACCGACTAGGCGACCTAGTCGGTGCCTAGGCTGCCTAGGAGGCCTAGGCAGTGCTTAGGCAGCCTACGCGGCCGTCAAGACCACCAATTATGGTAATACACTAGGCGGCCGGCCAACGCCTAGCGTCTAGATGCGATTTTCGCAACACTGATAGATTATTATCAATAAGGAATATATATATATATATATATATATATATATATATATATATATATATATATATATATATATATTTCTAATCAGGTGAGAACCAACCTTAACTTGCGAACTGCGAACTTGTGATGGATTGCACTTGATGGCGATATGAGACCCCGGGGCCATTTTATTGGGACAATCGGCCCAACCGCCCTAACGGGGTGTCCATTTTTATGGGTGATGTGTTGGCCCAATAAGAATAATGAAATTCTATCAGGCTAAGGAAAGAAGGAAGCTTTGAGCAAAATATTATTAGAATTATTATTACAAGGTATCAAACCCACAACGTCAAGCATAACAACACAAGTCCCAAACCACCAAGCCAATCAAGATCTTATGTGCTAAAGGGTAGGAAGCTCCACTTAGGCAGGGGAGTGCGTTGGAAGCAAGGTAGTGGGGTGACACGTGTGTGGTCTAGAATGGAGGCTGCCAGATGTCGTCTATTTGTCAACCATCCGTGAATCCCTCAACAGTATAAATAGGCACCCTTCCCTTCCTTTTAAAGACACCCCTTAACTCACCAAACTCCTCCTGGTCCATTGGTCTAAGTCTTTAACCCTTGTTGGCACACCAAGGTTCAATTCTTATTGGTAGCTTATTTAGTTTTATTTCATTTATTAGTTTCATTAGCTTGTTTAGTTATTATTTTGGGCCATATTCCATTCCTTGGGCCGCGTTCTTTGTATTTGGACCGCATTCTAGGCCTGTACCTCGGGCTTGCAGTACAAAGAAGGGGAAGCCATTAGAGAGAGAGAGAGTGCAGAAACTAAAAGTGAGTGGCGAAATTGCTCTAAGCAAGGGTGGATCTTCCTACAACTTCATGTGTGAGCTTGTGAAAGACATGGAAGCAAGAATGTAAGTTCGGCGAAATTTAACTCATCAATGATTCTAGAGTTATTCTCGAAGTCTTGTTGCAACTGTAGAATTAGACCAAAGTTTAAAAATCAATAACCACAGTATATGAATTATGTTTAAAGTTGACAAATCTCTTTTACTAGCATTTACTTCTGTCTGCTGAATTAATAAGTTATTTGATTTTCTTTCTCACACATGCTCTGTTAGGTCGAGACATAAAGATTCTTAAATTTGGGGATAGCACAAATCCCAATCCATTTCTCTCTGAATTTGTGCCCCTTCACCACTAAATTAATTAACTTAATTGGACTTAACAGGACTCATCACTAGCGAACAGAGAGGACCAAATTTGTCGTACTTTTTATGACTTATGAGCTGTGTTTTGAAAGTATTTTGAACTCTTTTTTTTGTTTTCTTTTACTTCTAGATCTTATAATGCCTTAAAATAAAAGTCTTACTAATTATGCATATTCGTTTTCTCGATCTACTCTTTGTTTGTTTTTTTTTTCTTTTGTTTTGTTTTGTTTTGTTTTTTTTTTTTTGGTTTTCTTTTGTTTTGTTTTGTTTTGTTTTGTTTTTTGTTTTTTTTGTTTTTGTTTTTGTTTTTGTTTTTGCATAGTACAACTTATATCGACGTCAATTCATCATTTTTATATGATTAATCTTGATTAGTTTCAATCTCACTAGTTCAACTCTTAGTTAAAAACGATATGATTAAATTAAGAATGCATTTACCAATTCAACTATTTCAATCTGTTGAGTTGATTTTTTCTTTATCCTGTTATGAATAATACTAAGAAAATTAAATATATAGCATTTTTCTATTCTCTTGTTTTTTGTTTTTTGTTTTTTTAATTTTTTGTTTAATATAACTTTAAAAATAATATCAATTTGATATCCAAAAATCACAATAAGGTAAAACAAGTAAATGAACATTGAAAATAGTAGTCTGTAATATTATAATGACTGTTATTATATTATTAATTAATCAGCATCAAAGATGATTTGGAGTTTTTCGAACGACATTAAAATTGAATTAGACTCTATATTAGTAGATTATGAACTTGACTGACTTTATTGATGTAAACAATCAGCTTTAAATAGCATACAAGGGAAAGAAGATAACAGGTAGTTAGCAGGATGTTGTAACATAACTAGAACTAAACAGAGACAAAAGGTTTCAACCATTGGTATCCTTAACATATATATGTTACTTGGGGACAACTAGGGAAGTTGATCAAGAAGTTGATTTGATAATTACAATATTTAAATTTAGCTTTTTGTTGGAGATGTTTATTGTAAATTGATCTATATAACGTAAAATACAACCCTTAACCAAACAAGATAATATTATATTACACAATCTAAACCAAACACATAAGGTAATCTTACATTCCCAAAATCTCACATTAACTTCTTGGAGGTAATTCTATTATCTGGGGTAATCTAAGATTCCGTGAACCAAACACCCCCTTATAGGATTTTTTTTCTCTTGAATTATTCAAATGATAGTTTCCACCCTGATATGTTAAATGGACATATTTATCCTTAAAATAAATATTTCATTTATTTTTCTTCTCCAACAAATTATGACCGCGATTTTGTTCAAACCGAACGGTCATTATATCAACCAAATCGAAGGGTTCCGATTATAATTTTGAACCGGAAACCGATATTTAGAGTTTATTAAAATCGCGAATCGGAACATTCGGTTCATGTTCTGAACAGAAAAAATAAAATACATTATTTGTTGAATATTGACTATTTTAAAAATAAAAGATAAAATTTTAAAAGAAAGCTTGAACCAGCAATTCAAATTGGATCCAGAACTATGAACCGGCGGTTCAAAATCAAAACCAAATCGCGGTCATATATACTTATATGTGAGAATAAGAATAAATGAGAAAAAGAACATACACTATTTGTAAATATTATAATTCTAAATTATGCTAATGTTAGTAGTTGTTCCAATTCAAACATCCAGTTCACGATTCAATATCCAGTTTTTTCAATTTACGATTTTAATATTGGGTTATGGTTCTGAATCATAACCGAAAACTTTCGGTTTGATTGCTATAATGTTCGGTTCAGTTCGAACCGAACCGTGATCATCCTTATGTATAAGTAATGATTTGTTTGAGAAGAATAAATAAATAAATAAATAATATATATATATATATATATATATATATATATATATATATATATATATATATATATATATATATATATATATATATATATATATATATATATATATATATATATATATATATATATATATATATGGGTAGAAATGTCCATTTAATATATCAGGGAGTAAACCCGTCACTTTTAGAATAATTGAGGAGCCTAATGTAAATATATGAATAATTTAGGAGGAAAAAGTAATATAAACATATGGCTAATATAATCAAGGAATTATTTGGGTAATTAACTCTTAAAAAAAATTAATATAAATATTGTGAAATGGTATTGAAAAAATTTCTCGCCTCCACCGAATTAGAGTGAAATTACCATCCCAAATAAATGAGAGATAAAACTATAAACTATAAGAAGTAAGAAACTATATTCAGTTGGAGCTTGCTCGGTCGATGCTGCCGAAGCCTGGGCGCTACTTAAAGGTATCCAGCTCGCAATCTCCTTAAAAGTGGAGAAGGTCTGTTTTGGAAGCGATTCTATGAGTATAGTCAAGGCAATCAATCGCAATGGGTCTGTTGACAATGTCGCAAGGAATATTATTCATGCATGCAACCGGGAACTTTCAAATATTACCAATTGGATAGTATCCTACGCTCCCAGGGAACAGAACCGTGCTGCAGACGGACTAGCCAAGCTACATGATACAGCCACTGGAACGAAAATCTATGAAACTACCCCGGAGGAGTTGATGAAAACCATAGAAGAAGATAGAGTTGGGCTACCTGTTTGGAGGCAAATGGATAGCCCATTTTTGTAAATACATGGGTCTCCCCCTTCCTTACTTTCTAAAAAGAAGTAAGAAACTATTCTATTCAAAAAAAAAAAAAAAATGCGAAGCTATTCAAATAGTTACTTGCCTGGAAATTGTTAACATTGTGGTCGTGCCGGAGTGGTTATCGGCCATGACTAGAAATCATGTGGGCTTTGCCCGCGTAGGTTTGAATCTTGCCGACCACGTCTTTAGCATTTGTGTTGTTTTGTATTTTTATTGACAAAAGAATCGAACGTCGTGTTTCGGACTTTAGTGGCATCCCACCCAATATCTTTTGGTTAGAAGCACATTTTAAAAGTATTGAATTTAGTTCAATCTAAAAATCGAGAAACAAAATTTATTATTGTTGATTTAATACATGTATTAATCGGAGATGTGTAGAAATCGATATTCAATATTAGTACTTTATATTAAAATCTTAAATTTATTTAAATTTTAGATATTTATATTATTGTAAATAATAATAATAATAATAATAATAATAATAATAATAATAATAATAATAATAATAATAATGTAATTATTTTTATAGACTTGAGATTTATATTTTAAGAAATAACTTATATAATACTCCAATCTATATATATATATAAAAGTAAAATCCTCCTATTTCATTTTCCCGCCCAAACTTTTGTAGTCAAATTAATTAAATATTTTATATTTTATTAGTCAAATATTTAATAAAGCTTATTTGGTAAGCAAATGAAAAATGGAAATTTAGTAATATCAATATTATGAATTAATTAGGAATAAGATTAATTAGGAATATTAATACAATGAATTGATTAGGAATATCAATATAATGAATTGATTAGGGTAATACCTTAAATAAATAAATACACTTTTTTTTTGAAAAATTTTACAAATTTATAATTCTCATATTTTTCACCTATAAATACAATGAGTTGATGACTACAAAAATTATAAGTCTTCATTTTATATTGCATCCTTTTTTCCCCACTAGGTCATCAGCATTGATCATTCAATTTAACCGCGTTTCGAAATTAACGGTAGGTTTAGCATCCAAGTAGTTTGATTTGATTAGATACAATACGTTTTTCATGGTTGTATTGTTCAAATTTAATATTTTTTTCAGCGAAAAGCTATTCATATCATATGCCTAGATTATGATTTATGCTGAATATTTCTACGGTTACTCCAAGTCCATTTCATATATTGATTTTTAGCTTATATTGAAGTTTCATTATCATTGATGAAAGGCAGCCTCATGTGAATCTCGCTTTGAGTGGTGCCTACTCCTGCCCGTTTAAGGGGATGTTGAGTGCTGACTGCTCTAATCTCTCTCTTCATTTCTTTGATATACTTTCATTGGTCAAGAATTTTAAGTGCCATACAATAAAATGTGTGACTCACGGGTGATTGGAGAATGGGGAGTTGTACTGTTAAGTGTTTCTGTTGTAATATACACGACAAGATGTAGCATGAATCGTCTTTAATAATCCAATTGACTATTATTATATTCTTCTTAGTTCTTTGCGTTGATTATTGAAGTAATCGGACTTCTGAAGTTCTGATTTGTTAAGTTGTTTTATTCTCATGGTGCCGGTTTTGACAGTTATGAAGTTCATGCTCAATTCCTCATTGTATAGGTCAAAAGTGTATTTATTTTTTAGCGTAATTACGGGATCGCCATAATTACTCTGTAGTAGTAGTAATAATAATAATAATAATAATAATAATAATAATAATAATAATAATAATAATAATAATAATAATAATAATAATAATAATAATTGGTAATATTATTGTTCAATATAATATTAAAAAAATTAATTTTAATTGGTAATCTATATTCTATATTAACCTATATTTATATTCTATATTAATTAATAAAAACAAATCCTCCTTTACAAGTTCTCGCCTAAACAATTAATAATAATATGAAAAAATGAAAAAGAATAGAAGGAAGCCATACGCCCAAACAATTAATAATAATATTGGGGAGAAAATTAATAATAATATAGAAATATGAAAAATAATGAAAGGAAATATTAGCCATGTGAATGTTTTTCTACACTCTGAAAAATGAAAAAAATCAATAAGGAATATAAGGAAAATAATCATTTAGATATTTTACTATTAATCTTTTACCGAAGATTTTGCGTAAAAAATAGAATAGAATTGGTTATTAATAATTTAGCCTTATTTTACTATTAATCTTTAAGAAAAATTCTGCGTAAAAAATGTAATAAAATTGGTTATTAATAATTTAGCTTTATTTTACTATATTAATCTTTAAGAAAAATGTTGCGTAAAAAAAATGTAATAGAATCGGTTATTAATGATTTAGTTTTATTTTACTATTAATCTTTAAGAAAGATTTTGTTAAAAAATAAAATAGAATTAATTATTAATAATTTAAATTAAAATTAAAGTACATATATTTTTCTATCCATAATACAATTTTACTTATTGTTTTACAAAATCTTCAAATAATAATTGGTAATATTATTGTTCAATTATAATAAAAACTTTAATTTTAATTGGTAATCTATATTCTATATTAATTAATAAAAACAATATCCTCCTTTACAAGTTCCCGCCTAAACAATTAATAATAATATGGAAAATGGAAATGAATGGAAGGAAGCCGTACGGCAAAACAATATAGAATAATATTGGGAAGGAAATTAATAATAATATGGAAAATGGAAATGAATGGAAGAAAATGTTAGCCATGTGAATTTTTTCTACACTCTGACAAATGAAAAAGAATCAATAAGCAGTATAAGAAAAAGAATCATTAAGATATTTACTATTAATCTTTTCGGAAAGATTTTGCACAAAAAATATAATAGAATTGGTTATTAATAATTTAGACTTATTTTACTATTAATCTTTAAGAAAAATTCTGCCTAAAAAATGTAATAGAAACGGTTATTAATAAGTTAGCTTTATTTTACTATTAATCTTTAAGGAAGATTTTGCTTTAAAAATGAAATAGAATCAATCTATCTATATATAATTAAAAACAAAATCATCATAATTCATTTTACCACCCAAACTTCTATAGTAAAGCTTATTTGGTAAGTAAAACTCAAATGAAGATTAAATAAAATCTATTAATTCGTAAATAATAATAATAATAATAATAATAATAATAATAATAATAATAATAATAATAATAATAATAATAATAATAATAATCCAAACAAAATTATATACAAATTAAAATTAAAATTAAAAAAAAAATAAGAAGAAGACAAAGGTGGCTCCCCTTTGTAAATGATGTGAGATTATTTTGATCCCACATTGAAAATGTTTAGAAAGAGGAGCTCTTGATCTCCTCTATATAAGAGGATCATTGGCTCATTGCTCCTCTTACAAATATATAATTGCTTGCCCATCAATGTGGGCAAGTATTGAGAAGTCCAAATACTTTGTTTTTTAGTACTATTGACCCGACAAATTATGCTGTGGCACCGTGTTGACCTTGCAAAGTAGACATAGTTCAAAAATTGTTCATAATTATGAATATATAGTTCTATAATTATAAACATAGTGTTGTGAACATAATTATAAACATATAGTTATGTAATTATGAATATAGAGATTCAATAATTGTGAATACGAAATTCAAAAATTATGAATATATATCCAAAGAAAATGATATACAAACATTTATTAC